GTTGTCTGTATGTATTCCAAGAATATCCAGCTTCAATGAGATCTACTGTTCATATCCTAAGGCAATTCCACACTGCTGTCAAACTTCTCCAAACGTTTCTCCAAATGAAGTTAAACTATGACAATAAATCAGATTATGCTATTCTGAATGGGCAGAGTTACCTATGCTGATAGACCTGACTACCTGAAAGAAACCAGAGGATTTAATTGGGATGAATGATAGCCTTGGAGGAATTTATAGTTTTCAAAACAAACTTAGAAAACTTTCTGCTTTTTAAATGAAATTTCTTAGCATTTTATTTCTGAATTTAGGTAGGGTCCCTTCTTCTCCAATATTTCTCTTTTCATGAACTACAAAATATGTTTTGCCCTGTTGGGCAAAATATTTTGGAAAGAAATATTCAGGAAAGAGACTGGATACTGTTTTGTATGGTTACAGAGCTCTGAAATGCTAGAGCTCATACACAACACCAAACACTTTTGAAGGAATACATATATTTTCAGATTGATCTTTTTCTTGAGATCTAGTTTCTCACACCACAGAAAGACAATAGATAGTCTGCTGTCTGATACCTAGGCATAACTGGTCCAGAAACAGGACTTCCCACACTCAACTTCGACGGAACCTAAGCCTAAAGATAACCTATGTTCCCAGGAAGCTAAATTTCTGCTGTGGCCAGATTTTTTTCCTTTAGGTCTTACACAAGCATCAAGACTTGAGAACAAAAGTTTATTTTTACCTCCTGTGTAGATGGAATTTGCCAATTCATTTCTACATGTCTTGCTTGCGGAATTGCTCCAAAATTAAGTTTATTGCACCATTTACCAGGTAAACTCACCAACAGAAATATAGTGAAAAGAGTATTACAGCAACCTCTGCAACTCTTTATGGCTTAAAAACTAGCATAAGGTTATTGTGTAGCATATGCATTGGAATTTTAAGAATAAATTTCTGTGTGTCCCTTTTTCAGCTGGAATAAACTGGAATGTTACTACAAAGACTCAGCTGTCCCTCTTACTTGTAATCCATTAAACAAAAACATTCTCAGCCCACAGTCCTTGTTTAGGGAGAACAGTACACAAGCTCTAGCATTTTCCTGTGACTGCAGATAAATAATATGTAACAGCATAAATGCAGGAAATTCCCAGACTGAAACTGTCATTGACAGCTTAGTAATCTTATTTTTATATTTTAATACAATTTTGAAAGCTCCTCCTAGTATATATCTTTAGTTTACTATACATGGAGCTGTTAAAAGTTACTGTAATATGTTTTCTCTAATGGAGGTACAAAATCCTATCTTACAAAAGGACCTCACCAGTCAAGACATTATTTATTTTTAGGTAACTACCAAAAATCAAATTAACCATGTCTCCATATCAAAACTGCATGACCTTCAGAATACCCTGGCAGACCAGGAAACCATAACACTCCCTGCACAACACACCAATTCGGATTAATTGTATTAACAAACTTAATTTAGAAGGATTTGGGAATGTTTTTACAGAGTTTAGGAAGGATTTCACTAGGATTACATGATGAGTAATTTTAAGTGTGTTTAACCGTTCACATTAACTCTCTAGGCATGAAACAGGTAAACTATCCACTATTCACTGCTTACTAGTTCTCATACCAAATTTTGCTATCATAAATGGAATGTCTGTGCAGTTCACTGTACAATTTAACTAGCCAGGAAAGAAACAAAAACAAACAAGCAAACAAACAAAAAAACCTTGTCCTTCTGCTTAGAGAAGAGACTGTTTCTCTTCTGCATGTTTCTGTTCTCTTGTGTTTCATTCAGAGAAACTGAATTTTAGTATGGCTTAAAATTACATTCCATTTGAATTAAATTATTTTGCCATACAATAATATTCCTTGCCACCATCTTTTTTTTTTTTTTTTTTTTTTTTTCCCCCATATGTATTTAAACTGTGTACCAGTGCTCTAGAGAGAATACATTAGTCCTAGGGAGTAAATGCACATAAAACACAAAGTTGGAGCATTTGGATGTTTGGAGCTCTACTCTTGCAAACTCATCACATCAATTTTATATCAAATGTCCTGCAACACAAATTAGTACAGCTAGGCAGTGAATCAGCACTTGCATGCAAGTTCTGGAAAATGGAAACAAACAAATGAAAGGATATATGCTCTTTTCATAATTCTAGGAAATCTGAAATTTTTAAAACAAATGTACCTTCTTATTTTCTAATGGGATCATAACCGCAATAATGTCTCAGCTATGGCAGTAACAATAAGAGTGTCCAGTTCTGAGCACATTGTTCTACAGTATGCTAATGTATGAATGTAAATATTGCAAACACATAAATAAATCAAGAAATGGTGCTTGAGAATGCCATTGGGAAATGCAACATGGGCAGCTGTGCAAACAACTATAATATTGGGACAAATTTATGAGCATATGTAGATACACTCATTTTCTGCTTCAAAAGAAAGTTTTACCTTTCACTGCAGGTGATTTGACATTATTTGCCATATCCATCATCACAGTACAGTAGAATGATGGGATTTCATTGTTGGAACAGAAGACGGGAAGTAAAAAATAGCCAAATATTAAACTTATACTCTAGTGGAATTTATTTGCTAGTTTGTTCTTGAAATCTGCACATTTAATTACCTGTGGGAGAGATTATTTCTTGTGGCCATTGGATTTTTCAAAGTCAAAATAATGTGTAAACAACTGCTGATGAAATTACCTGCCACAAAATGTTATATTCTAGCAAAGAACTCTGACATAAATTAAACAAAAAACTTTTATATTGTATACAGTCCTTCAGCCACCTTTTAAAACTTGCCTCTTACAAAACACCTTCCCCTTGGTCTAAGTAACTTGGAACTAAAGTACCGAAACTGAATGGCAGCAATTGATACTTCCTGACTTGAGAAACTACTGCTGCAATGCAGCTAAAATTACTGTAGTTAGAACTCTGTAAAACATAAGTTGTTATGTATTTCTATCTTGACTGCACTACTACTTTATTTAAAATCTTTATTAGCAGTAATTTTGCTCAAATACTGTTGCTCATTCAGCTGCTATTCTGGAGGTCCTTCACACTGGGAAAAAAGCATTGATTGTTGCTCATTGTTGATTGTTTGAAACCATAAAACAGTCAGACTGGTATCTGTTACTGTGCTGCCTCCTTCTGTTTCAAATGCATTCCTAAATTCTTTTCTTAAAGTAAAGAAAGTCCCAAATCTTTATCAACCACCACTGGACTCTTTAATACATTTTGTACGAAGCTTGAGCTCAACTTCTAGTGCATGCAATAGTTGAGTTATTGCAGATTCTCTAAAATTCATTTGTATACATGAGCAGGAAAGGGGGTAGAACCTCATTAAATTGTTAGTATTAGAATGTCTAATTGGAAATTAGATGTGAAATTAAAAGCCCAACCTGCAGCAACACATTGCAGAAGACATTCACAGAAAAATATCCTGTTATGAACTCCCAGATCACAAAATACAATATATTTAATAACAAAATAATAGGAGTTGTTGGTATACTTTTAAGGTGTTTACATGTGAATATAGAAAATTATGTTAACCACCGATTTCTAGCTGCCTAGGAAAAACAGTAAGGTAGGAAGAGCGTGGGAACAGCAGAAGAATCAGTTTAAGTTTCTCCACATCTTGGATGTTTGCTCTCTGACTAGTGAGTTTGATTCGCTCATAGTTATTGTTTAAAATTATAATGATAACTATAAAATAAAATTAAAAAAAAAAAAGTGGAAAGGAATTACATTTATTAGTATATCCTAATTTTATAGTAGTGTATACTAAATTCATTCAGTAGCATATCTGAATTCATATTTTTGTTTCGGTAAACTTCTATTAGTTATACCCCCTAAGGGAAATAGCAGTCATCCTTTCAGGAATAGCACACATTGTAATCAAGGCCTGAGCCTTGACGTAAGACTGGGTACAAACTGTTTATGCAAGAAATAATCATTACAGAGATGCTTGAGTACACCCCATGAGGTGCATGTTAGGAAATAGCATCCAATCCTCTATCTTTGATCCTAAGATCCTTCAGTATTTTGTTAATCTTGTGGAGTTCATTGTATCCATTTTTACCTAAACAGCAGCAGGAAAAAGAACATTTTCCACGTGTACACAGGCTTGAACTGGCTGCAAAAGCCTGTTAAATATTGATTCCTTTAAGGGCTGAAATTAGTTTCCAGTTGTGCATTAAGTTAGTCCTACAGAAAGATGCACTTGCAAGATTGTTTTGGGGAACAAAAGGAAGACTGCAATCACTAATCAGGCATTTTATAAGTGCATGCAGCTCTAAGATGAGGGGAATGGCTTTAAACTGGAAGAGGGTAAATTCATACTGGATATTAGAAAGAAATTCTTTACTGTGAGGATGGTGAGACACCAGAACAGGTTGCCCAGTGAGGCTGTGGATACCTCCTCCCTGGAAGCATTCAAGGCCAGGCTGCATGGGGCTGTGAGCAACCTGTTCTATGGGAGGTGTCTCTGCCTACAGAAAGGGGTTGGAATGAGATGGGAGGTGTCTCTGCCTACAGAAGGGGGTTGGAACGAGATGATCTTAAGGGTCCCTTCCAGCCCAAACCATTCTACGACATGAAGGCATTAGAACTGCATTCCGGAGAACAAAAATAAATAAGATATACCGTGTTTTCTCTGAAGGGTCTAGCAGTACAAAGCTTAACGTTCATACGGCTTTTGTTCCCAGCCGTTACAACGGTTCCAGATTCAAACCACACCGCGCGCCGAGCGGAGCGGGGCTGCAAGCAACGCGTGACTTGCAAACCACGAGTGCAAACCACGAGTGCAAACCACGAGTGCAAACCACGAGTGCAAACCACGAGTGCAAACAACGCGGTGACGTGCCCTGCCCGCCCATCGGGGCCCTTTAGGGATACGCTGGGATATTCATAGCTAACGCAGTCATATCCTCCCTCGGCAGCTCCACCCCACAGCGAGCGGGAGATTTGAAGGGAAGAGGCGGCGACATGGTGGAGGGCCCGTGCTGCGCGCTGTTTGCAGAGCGGCTGCGGGCGCGAGTGCGCCGGGGTCAGGCGGTGCGCAGCGCTCGGGGCAGCGCTCTGCCGGCTGGGGCTCGCGCTGCGGTGAGGAACTGGGCGTCAGCTCGAATTCTTGGGTGTGCGTGGTGCTGGGTCCCGCCAGGATGGGGGAGAGCTTTCAGAGACGCTCTCGTTTGCTTCGGTTCAGACCTTGCTGGGGCTTGTGAACCCTTGCGGTGGGGAAACGGGTTGGGATATAGTCTCGTTCTCATTAGGGGTGTGGTTGGGGTTGTTTGCAACACCTGTTTGCGCTTTGCTGCGAGGGGCTGTGTGTACTTTCATCGTAAGTGTGCCGTCCCGAATAGACGGCTGGGGAGCCCCCCTGCATGTATACATCTCTTTTGGTGTAGATAAGGCAGGGTACGAGAACTTGTGATTAAGGTTCAGAAAGGTAATGCCTAAACAGACTTAAGAAAGAGTGCGGTTCTAGATAAATCTGTTTAAGTTATGCCATCAACAGGTTAGTCTGTAGCGTTGTGTCCCTAGGACTAAGCAGTTTAAAAGGAGTTACTCTTCTAATTTCATAGAGAAACTTAATTCCATTCAGTGCTCATTATGTACTGCAGCAGAGGTCACCTCGGGTTGCCTTTATTCATCAGGAAATGGCCATCGTAGGCTGTAAACCATAGCTGAGGCTTTGGTCACTGCTGAAAGAGTACTAAGGGGACCCACGCTGTGCTATTAGTGCTGAAGTTGCAAGGGTTTAACTTGGAATATTTTGAATGTTAAGCTCATTTTTCATGCCTGTCACTTCTTACTCTGGTTTGTTTTAAACAAACCTGAACAGAATAAAGTAAAAAGAAATCTTGCTGCGTAGTATTTTACTCAAATGCCTTTATTAGAAGGGATTAACAGTTGATGTAAGGGTGAAATGAGAGTGCTTTCTTATTTCTGTAACAGGTGAAGTAAATGGTGTTCATGTCATGCAAAAAAAAAAAAAAAAAAAAAAAAATTGTTGTTTTTCTACTCAGTTGATAACTGCAGAAAGGGACCTTCAGAGCCCCTGAGTCCCCACTCAGAAGGACCTTGACAGGTGAGGAAAATAAACTGTCAGAAACTTGTTCACTCTGTTTTAATCTTTTTGTGTGCTCATTTTCAGACCGCTGCAAGTGAGGAGAGAACCTCTAGTCATGATTTCCTTACTGGACAAGTTTTCAAGGGTGTGGAAACACTGGGAAAGGAATTTTTTATGTATTTTGATCAAAAAGCTTTGAGGTAAGAGATGAAAAAATTACTATGCATTTTCAGGGGATCTTTTTGTTCTTGTCCAGAGATTTGGAAAGCTAGTGTTATGGAGAAACTTCTGTACAGCCTCACTTTAAATGCTTGAAACTCTCTGTAACTCTCCGTAGCAATTTGTAGTGGAGACATTAATCTATAATGCTACTTTCAGTGCAGTAGTTAACACAGTATATCAAAAGGCTCATCACTCAAAGTTCATTCTAGAGTATTATTGATGACTTAAGAAGGTCCTGATGGTTTAAGAACCCATTCATGTTGTGTAGAAGATTTAACTAACTGCAGCTTTAAGATGGTCATATTCTCCAGGCTTTCATAAGATGGTGTTTTTGAGGGGGAATGCATTGCTAGTGAACCCTTAGGCAAAAAGTAGATCGAATTAAAGCAGTCTTCCAATGCTGTATGGCACTAATTCCAAAAATTTATCTTTTTACTTTAAAACAACAAAAAAATCACCATCTTACTACTAGCTATAATTGAATAATAGAGCCTAAGTTTAATTAGTGTTTTTTTTTTTTTTTTATTTTTAATTAAAAAAAGAATTCTGTTTTACTTGATTTGAGCACATCAAAGGTAATGAAACACAATGGAGTGAAATCTTATAACTTTCTTAAGGCCTTCTAACATAAACATAGCAATGATCATGAATTATTTTTCTCATCATGGCTGACTGTGACTTTAATGTTTCTTTTAAACAGTGTAGTGAAGCTTGGCTAATGAAATGATCAGCTATTACAGTGAATGTAGTCTTTTAAAAAAGGAACTTTCTGGAAGTTTTAGTGCAATATTTTGGTTTATACTTTTCTTGACTGGTTAATGGCACTTCAGAACTGTAAATAGGTAACAGAAGCAGATGCAGCTGGAATAACTAAACTAACTGAACTGATTTGTAAGAAGAAAGCCTTGGTTGTGGGCGTTTGAAAACTAATGAGTAATGTTTCTCTTAATGACTAGAATTTATGTACATGCATATTGTCTTGGTTAGGTGAGAACAGCTCCTAACTATAAAAACTAGACTAGCAAATGCTTGAAAACATTGTTAAGATTAAATACCCGTAAGAATTTTCTTTCTTTCCAAGGATTCACTTTGGTATGAACGGTTCCATGCGCATTAATCCTGATGGAAGTAAAGACAGAAATGGAGCATTACCAGCTTTGGAGATACAACTTATAGAAGATACTATTTGTTTCTTTGAGGTGACAGTAGAGTATAGGTAAGGCAGAAACTAACCAACCTTAAATGACAACAGAAAACAACAAAAGAGAAAAAAAACACAGCTTGGTTTATAACATTCTTCTAAGAATGAAGTAAAAAATAAAAATCAGACAGTGTTAATTGTTTGGCTGAAAGCCATCATAGATAAAATAAATAAATAAAAACTTACTATAATGTTTATTGATATGGAAATTAATTTTGTCACTTTTGTATTGCAGTTTGCAAGGAGCTAAAGCAGTTCTATACCATAGCCTCATTAGATATTGTCGAGTCTGGGAATGAAACTTGGATTTAATTCAGTCCTTTGATCTGAAAGCTAAAACCCATTACTTCTTTAATTTTAAATGTAACTTTCTTAGCAAGAATATCTGTATCTGTAGCAATTACTGTTTTCAAACTTTTGTGGCCCCAAGGTTATGTTTGTTGGGTTTTTGTGACAGCAATTTGGTATGGTTTTGCTAATTAATGTTATGCAGCTTTATTTGTCCTTTAGCACTGTACTTCCTGCTGGTAATAAAACTAATGTAGCAAGCTTAATTTTAAAGCATTTTAAATTGTTGGGTGAAAAGGAACATGTAAAATCAAGTAATATATCTATACCATATGTAAGTTTAATACTATGGAACAGATACGCTTCTGCAAGACTGAGATAGCTTCTACTGTATTTTCTTGCAACTGTATGTTCTTCAGTTTGATTGTAGTTAGCCTAAAAAATAATCAAGAATTAAGACAATATATTTTCTTGTCATGTTGAAAACCTGCTGAAGCCATGTACCCGTATCTTACGGTTGATGATCCAAACACATGATTCTTATATTGCAAATAGATTTAACTAGTTTTCAAGCTAATTTGAGCCAAATTAGGATGATTACTTGTATGTTGGACAGATACTTGTATGTTCTACATATGTATCATTGAACTGTCTTGAAAGGAGGGGGGGGGGGCGGGGGTATATAATTTCTGTTCCTCTTCCCATGAGTGGTATTTTCACGTTTTGTGTTATCTGCAAATAATAACCTGTTACACTTTCATATATTGTTTTTTTTTTTAAAGTTGCTAAATTGCAAGTAAGACTAAAAATATATACATTTTTGTTGGTTTTTCTCTTCCAGAAATGTAGCAGAGTGTGAGCAGAAAGTAAGAATGATGGAAAGCTTGGATGTCTGCTCTCCAAAGTTTAGCTTCTTAAGAGCAGAAAGTGAAGTAAAGCAGCAGAAAACCCAGATGTTATGTGATGTGTTACTGGATCAAACAGTATTACCTGGAGTTGGAAATATCATAAAAAATGAAGCACTATTTGACAGCGGTCTCCATCCAGCTGCTAAAGTAGGTGGATTGCATCAAGATTGTTTTCAATTATCCCAAAGTATTAGGAGAATAAATATATATTTATATAAAATTTTGTTATCTTCTAATCTTCCTTTGTTTTCTTATCTATCATTACCTAATAGTTCCATCATTCTGATAAGAAGCACTTGATATAGCTTTCCTTGAAACCTGTTACTGTTGTTCCTGTCTCCCAGGTTAGACACTTATTGCACCAAGCCTGTCTTCCAGCTTGGAACTTCTTTTCTAGGGAACTAATTTAAAGTCCTGACTTTGTCCAGCATGGTGTTGTGCTGCCTTTAAATTGTCAGCCTATAAATAAAATTAAGAATGCCTGGGATTTCTTTGCTCTTGTGTTTTTCTGTACCTAATTCTGTAGAATTGGCAAAGGAAACTGAGATTACATAAAATGCAGAGGAAAGCAGGTGAAAATAGTAGGAGTTATTGTTAAACATAATATTTCTGGAAGCTCTTCATAGAATCAGTCTGAATTTTAACCCTAATTAGAGCTGTATGATTACATTCATGGATATAATGACTATCCATTTGAAGCGAGTTCTAGGTTCAAGAGGAGTCCTCTCTATATTCCCAGCAGAGTGAATTCAGAGTTGCTGGCTCATATGATTTCTACGATCAGGAACTCTTAGGTCAATAAAGAGGTAGACCACTGAAGTTTTTAGCTAATATTTTGCATGATTGAAGTGAAGTACATTATTTGTTACTCACATAATGAGTTTGTGTGGTGTATGATATGAAAGTGTACTATTTTTCCCTTGTTAGGAGAACTCATTGGAAGGTGTTTGGAGTGCCTGTGTTTATACAGATCTCTTTACTGATGTGAATTAATATAGCAATATTGTAAAAATCATACTTGTTTCATTTGCAGGTTTGCCAATTGACAGATGAGCATATACGTCACTTGGTGAAAATGACACGTGACTTTACCCTGCTTTTTTATAAGGTATGGACAGATTTCTAAGAAACCTCCAAAACTTGATTTACAGCATCACAGCTGTATTTGATCAGCCAGGGGAAAGAGGAAAAGAAATGAAACAAAAGAAGTGTTTCAGTGAATAGGAGTCTTGCTTTGCATTTTATTGTGAACTGTCAAGAGATGGAAGAGTGGGGAAATACAGACTGTAAGAATGTGCAGAACTATGGCCCAGTTGCAGCAGGAAAAGTGACATGTGGGCCAATTCAGTACAGTTTTGCTGTACATATAAAGTCACTCTGAATGTGTCAGAATTAATATAGGTTAGGCACATGCATGTAAGGTGACAACTCTTCAAACTAGGAGCTAGAGGTTGCCCCTGGGAATTTTTATAGGAATTCAATTAATGCAGCTTTATGAAACTTGAACTAAGTACATTTATATGAATGAATACATTGTAAATCCTAACAACAGTTTCTTCCTAACTGTGACAATTTCCTTGGTTGATAAAGCAAAATAAACTCAAGCTGTTCCTTACTGCCATTCAATAGGATTTTATTTCTTCTCTTGTCAACCCTGTAATTCCTGGTGGTTCTTCCTCTTTGCAAAACAGAATGAAAGAACTGGGCCTAATTCTTGTTGATGCTTTTTTGTTTGTATGTTTTTCTTTAAGCTGCACGTGGAGGAATGAAATGCTTGTCTGTTTCTCAAAGTTCTTCAAAGACAAGGAGCTAATGTTGCTAGAAGTTCTTTTTTGTAAGATAGGAGAAAAAGATTTAAAATTTCTTACCATTCTTAGAATGGTAGGGGTTATAAATGTAATTCATTTTAGTCTATTTAAATCTCTGCTTTCTGTTAACCTGTCAAAGAGTAGTGATTTAATCTAGCTAGATTTAGAATCTTTTCATCATCCAAACTTCATAGGGAAGCCTAGTAATAGAGAGCAAGTGGTTCTGCATCAGCATATAATACTAAAGGTAGGCATTGTCACAAGTATTTAGACTAACAATAAACAATTTACATTTTCTGTAGCTCAATTTACTTATCTTAAATTTTTATAACTAAACCTACCAAGTATTCATCAGCTAAGTACGTTTTAAGGATGAACTTGCCCCTGAAGCCTCTTGAAGATAAAAACATAACAAAAACAGATTAATATGTGGTAGTGATGATCACTGTTTATAGAATGTTAGTATATACTGTAATTCTTGTAGTAATCATTCTACACTTTCATTTGTAGTTTAATATCTTACAGATACAAATATGTGGGACCTAGTTCATGTAGTAAGCTGCTGTTTTTTCTGGTTTTAATAACCAATAAAAAATAATAAAAAATCGACTTCTAATGGAGAAATTTACAAAAAAAAAAAAAAAAAAAAAAAAAAGCTTGTGAATATTCATACAAACAGTTTATCAGTCATTCCTTCTGACTGAATTACTGGCTGTATCTCTACTGGGCTCTTCCTGATTTTACTTTTTTTCCTTCTATCAGTTTTAGCTGGGGTATGCCTGTGTTGACTTTGCATGAACTGTCTCATGAAATATTCCTTCTTTTCAGCTCTTTGGGGTCTCATTAGGTCACTGTGCCCTTTGAGTTTGTTCTGTTCTTACTTTAATGTGACTTTCTGCCAGCTCTTGGGGTTGGGGATCTTGTCATTGTGCGTACTAGCATTTCACAAGCCAGCCTGTCTGGTGTGATGAGCACTAGGATGAAACTGATGATCTTGCAGGTCGTTTCCAACCTTGCAATTATGCGATTCTGTTGTTGAACTTTACTGAGCTCAAGCTGACTCCTACTCATTTTCTCTGCTGTGTAGATTGGAGCTCATGAGCTCTCCCAGTTTATTTTTGCAGCTGACAGGTCAAAGAAGACTGGTGTTAAATCAAAGCTAGATGGTCCATCTAAACACAAGGGATCCCTAGCATATGTCTGCTGATGCCATGGTAGTATGTCTTTTTGTGTCTTTCTTTCTTTGTTCCAATATTCAGGAAATTTTGATATAATATTGATATACAATGATATACCAGATTTAATGTCAATTTTTGAAATAAAAGAAGATGAAATACAGGATGTAGCCCTCATGGACATGCCTCTAATTTCTTTGTTTAGTCATTAAGCTTTAGTCTGCACAGCTATTTTTTTTTTTTTAGTTTAGTTTAGTTTCAGATGAGCTGTGGAAAACCTACCATAATTTATATAGTATCTGTAACTTGGGTTTTAAATATGCTCTATTTTAGTGCCGCAAAACTGGGTCTCCACTCTACAAACACTACAAAGTATACAGGCGCCAAACTTGCGGTCAGTGCAATGAGAAAATCACTGTGTGTCGTTTAGGAGAGAATAACAGGATGACTTACTTCTGCTCTCGATGTCAAAAGGCTGATCCCCAGCTTGTCAATGTTAGGTATGATGATATCTTTATAACACTGAAGTGCTGGTGTCCTGAAAGTGCTGTTATGTTAACAATAGAAAGCAAATAGAATGGCTGCATGCAAACCAGTATGTGTTTTGTATCTAAGCTCAGTTGTACTTATTAAAAATGATTAAAAGCTTTGATTAGAATACTTGTCTTAAAGATCCCTTCTGTTGTAAACTAGCTAATCAAATGTGAAAATCATAAAAACAACAGAAAGTACTCAGAATTATTCACTGCTATTAGAAAAGTTGTTCTCTCTTCTCAGTTAGAAACATAATAGGCTTGGATGCTTACATGTCAGTGAGTTGAATGGCATGAGGAAGGTAAGAATCTGTGTCTCTTTCTTTCTTGTAGGAAGGCCCTCAGGAATATCTAAGCAACTACATTCACATAATTTTGTTCTAGATGTAGAGAGATACTGAGGAAAACTAAGGAAAGTAAATTCAGAATGCAGAAAGTACTGTAGAACTTCAGACTTTTTTTTTTTCCTCCTTAACAGTTCTGGAAAGCTTTTACTATAAGTGTGCCACAGAGACTTTCAGTTCCATATAATTTATGCTAGCAGCAGCCTTCCTTTTATTTCAGAAAAAGCACAAAATGCATTTGATATCACAGAAGAGTTTGATATCACAAAAGTTAGAAGTTTCAAAAGCACCTTACTCAGGGTTCTTCCACACCTAAGTTATTCTAGAAAAATTTTCATCTGAGGCCTCAATCTTGCTTTTTTTTGTATTGAGCTCTGTCAGTCTGATGAAAGACACAATTTCCATTTAAAAAACTTTCTTTTCATTAGTGTGTGTTTGTGTGTGTGTGCATGGATATAAATGTACATAGAGAGGTTTTTTTTTTTTAATAAGATTTACAGAAAAATATAGAAGTTTTACACCAAATTATTTTACTCTGCCACCCTCACTTCCAACTTTCTTTCAGGAATCAGATGGCAAAAGGGATTTTGCTTAAAGCTTAAAAATCACTTCTCAGTGCAGATCAACATAGAAAATTCCAGCATAGAAGATAAATATTTCACTTGCTGATAAAACCAATGTCCTGTGTTGTTTTTTTTTCTCTGAAAGTTATGAGAAGTACTTTGAAAAACAGTAGGGAGGTGGAAATGTTCCACTGAGTCACGCAACCACGAAATTATGCAAGGGGAAGAAATAACTTTCTCTCCATTCTAGAAAAATCACTGTCTTTCTGAAAACAAACAATTAAGCAGTGGTATATTTTAGTTAAAGTTGTGGTAATTGTAGCAATAGAAACATGAAGGCCGCTCTGGAAGTATTTTCTCTTATTTTCAGCACTGGCAACAGTGAAGTGAAAGACAAGCCATGTTCTGACAGCCATGCAGATTTTTGCATGAGTGGTATGCGGGCTCTCATTCATCAGTGATGAAAACAGGTAGCTACTGGTAGTGACTTTGAAAAATAGTGTTTTGTAGCTGAAAATCTGCTCTATCAAGTAGTGCTACTGTGTTCTTCGAATCTGTGGAAGTTCCTCAGAAATAAATAGCAGGCATGCTTTCAGAGTGACCTCCCTGCAAGGCTGTTTCCAGTACTGTCTTCATCTTTACGGTCAGACTGCTTCATTATACTGCTCTTTCTGCTACACAGTAACTTTTACCACTTTAAAGTGTCCCTGTCTCTCAGGTGGCTTTTCTGCAAGTCTAACCTTCTCATGTTTGAAGGTGAACAGGAGTCTGTGTAATCAAACTGACGTGCTATAGATCATGAACTGTAGAATTTAACTCTGTGATTCCTGGGTTAAGTCCAGTAGCTTATGTTTTTGCTCAAACGATAAAATAAAGACAGGACCCATTATAAGCAACTTCATCAAATTCAAGAGTACCTTGAATCTTTAAAATACATTTTTAGATAGTGAAATATGGGAAAAATATTAATGGGGAGGAGTATTACACTTATAAAGAAGACATGCTGAATAATTTCAGTCTGATAATGCTCATTTGACAGCTGAGTAATAGAAATTATTAGACAGTATTAAAAATGGGTATTTTTAAATTACTAGTTAGGCTGTTTTGTTATCTACCCCAATATATTGGGAATGATACTGTAATATCTACTATAACTCCTCTTTATCATTTTGTGAAAGAGCTGTGGTAGATTTCTTAACTATTGGTGGGGGAAAATAAGAAAACCTTTTTAGATACCTAGTCTGTTAAGAAGAATGATAATTATAAAGTATAAGTCTAAAGAGTGTCACAACAGTTCACCAACTACAGAGACAAATGTTTGATGACTTAGCAAATGCAGTCCCTAAAACTTTGCATGTCACTGAACTGATAGTTTCATTTTGCATGCAAACAATTTTTGAATAGTACAACAAAACTAGTCCTTCATAGCATGCAGTAACTAAAACAGTAACTATGGTTCTACATAAATGTACCAGCATATGAATACAGTAATTTAAAGGAAAAATAACTACAGAAAAACTCTATAGAAACACTTGCAGTACAGCTTTGTCTTACCAGTTATAACTGAACAAGCACCTAAATGTTTAAAAATAAAAATAAAAAAAATCAGGAAATGGAGAGACAAAAGAAAGATTTTATAACTTTAACATTTTCAATTATGTTGGCTTTTATGACAACAAAGTGGTCTAATGGATGCCATTTACAAGAGAGAAAAAAATTGTTGAAATTTGTTAGGTTGTGTGACTGTAGCAACTTCCAATTAGTTCTTCATTCAGTAATCATCTGTTTGTAAATATTCAAATATTCTGTACAATGGATGGGGGGAAATGTACAGAAGTGGTTGTCCTTTCTTGCCAAATTTCTTGCTACTCTATTCAAGAACAGTAAGGAATGTGAGGGATGCTGGAGTACTGTGTTGCAGAGTGTCTCTGTTGATTGTTAACTTTTTGTCAGTGTTAGTTTGAATATTTGTATTACTTGGGAAAGATTTGCCCTTTAGGTAAAGAAGAAAATCAAACTCTTATAGTGACATGTTGTTAGGCAGGTATAGCATGCTGTTCTGCTTTTTCTCTAGGTTCTTGCCTTCCTGAACATAGCGATGTAAGGTAATTTGTGGAAGAAACGTCACAAAAGACTAACATCATTCTTCTGTTTCACAGCAAACTGCCAACTAGAAATAGCCTAATTGGCTGGGCGTGTGGCAGGGGGTCATGTTCTAATGAACACATAGCTCAGAAATGTGAAGAAGAGTGGACGTGTATGCGCTGTACCCTAATAAACAAGCCTTCTGCTGAAACTTGTGATGCCTGTTTGACTTCAAGGCCTGAAGGTATTGAAAGGTTGCCTGGAGCCCATACTGGGGAAAGGAGGGTTGTGGTTTTGGTGCAGTTTTTAGAATTATAGAACTGTAGAAATGACTTACTGTGAATTGCATTTATGTAACTTTAGCAGACTTAAAGTCAGATTTGGAGGAAATCTTACACAGATGATCATAGAAACTGTCTCATCTTAAACCCTAGATGTGTCTTGCCTTCCAGCTTTACTTGCAGATGGGGATTCTATAGACAAGTCTCTGTGGTGATCGTTTATTTTTGCTGGAGCAAGGAGTGAAACAAAATACCATACTTCAAACTCTGATTAAAATTGTTAGACGTTTGCAGCAAAAGCCTGGAAGAGAAATCATCAGTGGTACAGAGAAGTAACTCACATTCCTTCACATGAACAAAACCAGAAGGGGAGTAGATATTTTGGTACCCTTCCCAAAGCACTGCTGGATTTCTCAGGAGCTAGTGTTTTGTTTTGTTTTCCTCCAAGTTCAGATTAAGGAGGATTTTGGACTAAATTTGTTGATATCTCCTACTGGAGTTTTAATGCTCCCATCTAGACCTCTGTGGGCAGAAAGCAGATGTGAATGAGACTTATAAAGGGACACAAAGATTGCTACCTTCTGTGCAGATTCCTGTATTTAGATATTAAGAAGAGATAAAAGAGGTAGTGGACAGACCCCACTGAGACCTGTTTTCTCTCTGAAGAGGAACTTTGTATTCTCCTTCACCTTTTATAGAAAAGTGATTAAAATGTTCAGTGAAGGGATTTACAGCAAGTTATTTGAGTCAAGAGTCTTGTAGGAACAAAAAAGGAACAAAGTTTAGAGTTATGCATGTGTGGTAAAGCTAATCCTATAATCATTCCATACTTAAACTTTTCTACCTCAAGAACTAATGCTGTACTTATTTCACATTTTGTATAGTGAGTTCTTCATTGAAGACAGAGAATGTTGAAGATTCCACAGACTTTAACATAAATCTCATTAAATACCCTTGTAATGACTTCAGAAAACCAAGCAGAGAAATAAAGATCAACAGGAAGGCTGCATTTGGAACTACCACTCTTGTCTTAACAGATCTTGGTAATAAAGCAGAATTGAAAGGCGATATCCAATTACCTGATGGATGCTCTGAGTATGTTACTCCAAAAGGCAATCTCAGCCAGAATCAAAATAATGTCTACCACTCAGGAATAAGCATAGACAAGTATTGCTCAACAAATGTAACTTCTCTGGCTTCATCTTCTGGTCAGGAGCCTCCCTCTTTCAAGCCCGCAAAGAAGAAGCAGAAAACTCACCACGTATCTTCTGTTCACCAATATAATGTAACAATTTGGTATGTATTCTAAAATACAAACAAGTTTTGTTATTTTGTAATTACATAAACCATCTTTATCCTTGAAAATTAATGGAACATTGTGTTGTAGAGTTCATGCAGTGTTGTCTTTGCATTTCTACTGAAGGGAATTTCCTCTCGAGTAACTAAAACTACACTAAGACCTCAAAAGCACTGAAGGACCTAGGCTATTGCTGGAAAAGTCTTGAGTTTGGCATCTGGCCAGTACTGCTGTTAATTGAACAGCTGTTCATAGTGCAGGTATTCCCTTGAATAGGAAAGATTTGCTCAAATAGGTAAACAGTTCTACCAAAGGAGTTGTCTGATTGCTGCTTGCCTTCACTGTTTGTTTGGAGAAACCTTGAAATCATCGTGGAAGATAACAAGCATATAAACTGAAGTGCTTATTAGGCACGTGATTTTTTTCTCTACTGTCTTGATTATTAACTTGTTTTCCTTGTGTAAACACAGGATCTTTAGTCTTTTGCTTTCTTTCATTATTTGCAAAAGAATGTATTCTCAACATGTTTCTTAATTATAACCTAAAGAGAAACAGGTAGATAATGGAACACTCTTAAAATGTGCTAGCTATCTAAAAATAAGTTAGAGGTGCTAGAGATGGATTTACTATTTCACTTAATGTGTGAATTCTCATACCATAAGGAAAGTAACTGAATTGCTTGTGTATTTTAGTTGAAAGTATTTGTCAGCTAGCAATTTTCAACTTCTCTCCATGATACAAACTTCTGTTCAAGTTAACTTAATGAACCTACTGTCACTATTTTCTGTTAACTTCCCTCCCTATCCTATATGCAATTACTTCAATGCTCCACCCATCCTGAATTTTAAGTTACACAGCCCCTACAGACATACCCACTCCCAGTGAAATGTGAGAACATGATAGGATTGTTAAGAAAAACTTGGGCAGACATATACAGCAGTAATGGGAGTGCACAGTAGATTTCACTGATGGTGGTAAATTACGCAGGGGGAATGTGAAAGAAGTTTGTGATACACTGCAGAATTCTTGGTCCTATGTCTGTTCTGAAATACAGAAGTTATTTAATGCACTGTTGAAGCATCAATTTTGAAACTGGCCCTTACTAGCAAGTTGGTGCTCTGTGAAAAAGCATTCTACTTGCTTTCTCAGTAGAAGACTACAGAGGAAAGATATAGATGTGATGAGAATAAGAGAACACAAAGAATAAATTGGATATCAATAACAATATCAGGTAGTTATCTAAGGCCACCAACTTAGATATTACAGAAAACAAACTTTGAACCACAAAGTACATGAAGTGTGGGAGTTTTGTGGGATTTTGGTTTTGTTTTTTTCCTGATGAGGCATAGGAAGAATGTTTTAATGAGGTATTGGAATAAAACTTTACCTACAAGACTATAATCTTCCAGACAAATTTCCTAAGCTGAAAACTTCACAATAAAGTAAATAGCTAATTGATCTTTTCAGCTTTCCCCATGGCTTCATCACTGCTATTCTGCTCTGTAAATTGGATTTATAAATATATTAGAAATATCTCAAAGAGCATAAGTATTCTTCTTCGTGTTACCATTTCTAAATAAAACCTCATGTATTGCATTCACGTAATCTGTACCTCAATCAAGAGAGAGAAACCAGACAGCACTGTTCCCTTCCCTTAGCCAGATTATTTGTCAGAATACAAGCATTACAGTAATTTTTTTAGTAAAGAGAATAGGAGAATTCTGGGATGCATACAACTACCTTCAACTTTGACTAATTACTTAGTATTGATCTTTCTCCTACCAAAAGCAGAATATTCTTTTAATATTGGGTGGGATTTAGGGTGGGCAGTATAACATAGGTAGTATGATTTTTGTGTTGTAGCTGAAGTTAGGAATACATTGAAATAGCTTAAAACCAATGCTGGGCAAAGCTGATATGATACCTTCTAGATTAGTTTATTCTCTCCCCATTATCATTCAGCTTTAAAGGAGCAATAAGCTGTATTAGAGAATCAAGTTCTTTGTCTGTCATTACATGCAAACGTGCACTGAGCATGTTATAACAACAATAGGAGAGACTTCCTTGGCTGTGGTGTTGGTAATCCCTTTAACAATATGCACAAGTCATTTTGTTACCTGTCATTACAGCAAACCTCAAGTTAATTCAACAGATGATATTCATACACTGCACACAGGCCCTCCTCATTGCAGCAAACACGGTCACCTCTGCAAACTCAGAATTGTGAGGAAGGATGGGGAAAACAAGGGCAGGATGTTTTATAGCTGTCCTCTACCCACAGAAACTCGGTGCAACTATTTTCAAGTAAGTATACGACTTCACAGCCTGTAATGTTTCCCATTTTTTCCTTAATTCAATCACTTTTTCATGCAGCCACCATACCCCAATCATCTATAACTGTGCACAAGTGTTTAAAATTATCTCTTGCTTTTAATGAATCATATCTGTTCACACTGAATTGATGCATAATCATGACTGTAAGCTTATTGTTTCAGTTACTTCTCTTACATCTGAGAGCATACCTTTAGTGCAAATGCTCTTGATCTGCTTCAGCATAATGTAAGGCAGATGCATAATAGAATTATCGATTTGGAGAGACTTGTACAGCTCAGTTATCTTCAGCCTCTGGGTTGAAGGAGTGCTGCAAAACTTAGATCTGGACATCAGCTATGTCTCTGTCAAGACAAAATCTTGAAAACCTCTGAGGGCACACATTAGACAGACTACACACACTGTAGTCTGTCTGGACTGTTCCTTTCACAGCTGCACTGCTGTGCAACCCAGCCTTCATGGCTGCAACCTGTGGTCTCAGCGTCTCGCTGCGTGAATGTACAAGAAAGGGAAGAGCTTAGGTCACCTACCAACAGAAAGAATATATGAATTTAAGTCAGTAATGACTATGATGCCTTAATTTGTAGAAAACTGTGCATTAACATCAATTAAACTTACAAAGCCTAGTTGTAATATTTAACACCAATTAAAATGTATACAGTGCACTGATCACTGGAGAGATCAGACTATACTTAGTAGCAAGAATTTCTGTTAAGGCCTCTCTTGTAGATCCATCTCCATTTTCAATTTTAAAATAATGAGCTCAGAGCCAACATATATGATAAAACCATATCTAAAAATTGTTTCTTTTGACAGTGGGCTGACTTGAATTTTCCATTTTGTCACCATGGCAAGCGATGCGTTATGAGGATGGTGCTGAAGCTTGGTCCCAATAATGGAAGGAATTTCTTTGTGTGTCCATTAGGAAAGGAAAAACAGTGTGGCTTTTTTCAGTGGGCAGAAAATAAGCCAATTACACAGTTTACTCCTTGATGATATCAGTATCTAAGACATCCTAAGAAATAGATAAGTACAACTCTCACTGGTCATTTCTGTTTTGTTGTCACCTGTTTTTCCTGTTCACTGATTGATTAGTCAAATTGCTCCCATAACTAAGTAAAAATTACAGATTACTCTATCCCAATTTTAAAAAGTCCTATAACATTAAACACTGCTTGTATGCTGCATACTAACTTGCAGTATATTGTGACACACAATATTTCATATTCATATAACAATAGTTATATTTCCAGTCAAATAATTGAACCGCTTTCTATTTTTCATGTAAATGTCACTGCACTGTCAGCACTGCACATTTTCAAGCTGATATGCATTATGGAATGGATCTTAATCTGAATTTGTACTTCAAATTGTTAGTCTTATAAACAGGTATTTAATGAATAAAATTTACTGTCCTCTTCAATATAGCTTCATGCTTTATTTCTTCAGAGCTTGAAAAGAAACAACAGACTGTACATTTTAAATTTTACTATAGCTGGATGTTTGACCTTCCTAGATTTGGAAAACAGACACACACTGCCCCACAGTTAATAACATGACTCTGCATTTTTCTTAATTATATGTTTTTAATCTGGATCTTAACATTTGATTCTGGTTGCTATTCTGTGTTCCCTAATCTGTGTTAAATGTGTAATAAAACCATTCCAGACCGTTCCACTTGGGTGGTTAAAAGACAACTGAAAACTTGTAAATGGTTTACAATTGCTCAATATTGCTTTTTTGAGTATTTTTGGTTGGAAGGACTTGCAGGGAAGATGGTACTTGGAACTAAAGAAAACTCAATTTTCCTGAGAAATCTGTGGAACTAGAGTCCAGTTTAAAGCCTCAATGCCATACTGTGATTGAAACCAATTAATTTTTGTCCTTGCCATCAACTTCAGAGGAGACTTTCTTCTTTCTCTTTTCAGTAGCCTATGCCATATTTCAAGACCTTTAAATGTTTCCTTATGTGATGGTAATCTTCCTTTTAAAAAAAAAATAAAAAAATCAGGCTGTAGAAAGTATAATTTTATGTTGCTTGGTGGATTCTTTCCAACTTACATGTATCTTTCATGAAGCCTGTTTAAAGTGGGGTACTGAACCCTATCTGAGAACAAAACAAGCTACTTCACATGGTGAAGACTTTTTATATAAAAGACACCAATGATACTTTATTGCTATGATGGTATATCACTGTTCTAAGCTAATTTGGGTTATATATCTAAATCTTTAGAACTGTCTTATTTTTACAATTCATTATTATGAGAAGGTGATTATTTTTCCATGTGGTTGGGTGTCTTGCACAGGGATAAATCTTCAATGCTTCAGCTAAACATGAAAAATACAACTACTTTTGATCATTTGCCTTTAACAAATGCAAAGCTAGAACTTGAATGACTTTTTCAGACTTTGACACTTCAAAGATAACAGGCTGTCTCTTTTTAAATCTTACCCGTGAGACAAGAAGTAAATGAATATTTGTTTACATATAACACATACTAGCTTTAAAGGATTAACTGCTTTTATTAACTACTGCAGTTACTTTCTTTATTTCCTTATTTCCAGAACATGCTGTGTGTAAAAATAAGTAAATGCATAAGCAATATGGAAATTTAACCTGGACAACACAGCAGTAATATATAAAGTGCATTTACCATTCTTCAATGAAATGTGTATTCTGTCCAGCTTAAACTAAGGAAATGTAATATTTTGTCCCGATCAGTAGTTCATCCATTTAAAAAGTAATTTCTCCTGAAGTCTGAATACTTCAAATGCATGAGAAATCATCTAGATGTTATTATTAAAACAATGTTTTATCTTTGAATAAAAATTGTTTCAAAAAAACTTCTGAAACATCTAATTGCTGCTGTTTTCTGTTTGCCTAAATTACAACTGTTAACGTGCTAACTTATGTTTATTATCTCAAATATAACATAATAGGCTAGCACAGGCTATCCAGTTGAAGTAATCAGAGCTGGTTGCATATATGAAGCTTTAACAACTATATGTCACAACATGTCAGTGAAAATGTAAATGGCAAACAGCAAGGACAGCTAAAGCTAATCAAACCAGCACATAGAGGAATCTAAGATGTTTGTACTCCAGTGAAACAAGAGACTAAATAAAAGACAGTTAATTCTAGATCACTATCTGTCTCTGCATAACTTACTGCTTCTGCCAATGCATTTTTCCCCTCCAGCCTGCTATTTTTCCTCCTCCTTAGGGAAAGAGAGCATTACACTACTTGTTTAACAAGCTGTAGCTGATATTTGATATTAAAAAAAGGTTTTGATAAATAAAGTTGCAATAAAACTTAAAATACATCCTCCTCAAAAGAAAAGCAACCAAGGGTTCAAAGCAGTAGGTGGTTCTTGAAACGATCTCTTGTTTGTTCAGAAGTCCTGATTTTGCCTTTTGTCCTAGTATTTTAAAAATGAGGCTGTTGTGGTTTTGTTTTCACATCAATTTATCTAATATAGTGCAAATGATGAAATAAATACACATACTTCAGATTCTTATATTGCTTACCTTTTTGGATGTTGTGTTGTATACGAACAGCTGTGGGAGCTAAAAAGAGCGATAAAGTGATAGTCAAAAGAAGGAACTGTCTATCCCAAAAGTTTCCTGATTTCTGTTCTTCATGAAATCTATTGTAAGCGGTTTAAAAAAGTAGTCATTTTCAAAGGCTTTGGGATTCTGACATAGTTATTAGTTTAACTTCCTGCATCTGTACATACCAAAGAAACAAGCTGTGTTACAAGTTTCTCCAGGAAGCTGTTAGAACTGACAAGCTCACGTAAGCTTCTTTGGCTTGATACATTTCAAATAAGAAGATAATTGCAGCTCTATAGCTAGCTTTACTGGAAGATTTTGTTCATAAATACTCTTACAATTTTTGGAGATTTTTTTAGACATCAGCATTATAACATGTGACAGCATGACTCACAATGAAAGTTTGTATTGAACAATTTTCTAGCTCTGTTTATGACGAAGCAATCCTCATAGAGGATCAAACAGAGATCACAAGATGTGAAGTAAAGACTAAACCTAGAAAACCCTAATGCCATACCTTTTTTTTTGCTTTACAGCAGGCAATTTAGTTACTATCACAGTTTAAATTTAAGCAGAATACATCTTTCACTTTCAAAGTAATATTTATTTTCCAGTTGACATAGGTTAGAATCACACACTTTTCCTACTTTCAGCCCTTTGTGTCCTTATTTAAACTACTTTTATTATCAACTATTTGTTAAAGGTATATGTATTTCTTAACCTATATATGCACAACTACCATTTGATGTCAATATGAATTCAGCAAATAGACTGAGACCTGAAGTAATGGTCTTACATTACTAATTCACTGAATAATAAAGTTGCACCTAAAATACATACTCAAGTTTTGTGTCATGACTGTCACAGCTGTAAACACAGACCTTTTCTATGATATACAACTTTATATCTGCATCCACCCATCTGTGTAAAATGTAGCCCTGGTTCTCACTTATTTTTCTGAAATGGAAAACAACGAAGAGTGTTTTAGTTTGATGGGAGAACGGGATGTTCAAAGAAGTGGACGATGCCATCTTTTCATCTGCTAAATATGTGCATGAAACGTTCATTACTTTCACATGAAATCAAAAGGCATTGCAAAGTCTTTCACAGACTTCATAGCAACTGCAGGCCTTCTTTTTCTCTAAACAAAATCTCTTTGCTGGAAGATTTAAGACTCTATTCAACTTATCCCTGTGTCCTGCACTATGCAATTTCACTTGTTGTCAGCTACACTTGCACTGACATTTGGTGATGAAAGCTCAAGTTAAACATCTAGCATATTAATATCCTGCAAGTATTTATTTTTATTCCTTCAATATTTGAAAGGTTGTTTACTATGTCCAATTTTCACTTAAATATTCAGAACATATGTTCAAGATCCATTTAGAAAAGGCTGGAAATACTCTCTATTTTGTACTGAGCTCAGACTAAACAGTGTTCAGCCTCAGTTTATGAGTGAATATAACCGCACACTAAACTGAATTAAAAACTGGCCTATGCATACATTTTGCTGACAGATCTGTACTCGAGGCTGATTCCGGCTATCTGCAAAAATACTCAAAGTGGGCCTTAGCATAGCAGCTTGAACATCACACCTTCATGTACAAACTCATTTGTACTCCATTAGTTTGTAGTTTATGCAAAGCAAGTAAAGATTTTCAAAGAAAATTGCAAATACATACTACGCAACTCAAGTAGGAGCTGATCCCACTGCAGTCAGGCTACAGAGCTTCACACCTTGTTTGCTCCTACACAGCAGTGCAAAAAGGATAAAAAATTCTATGCTCCTAAACTATTCAGGTATGCAGATACTACAGCAACAACAGAATATAAATAGTTGAAGCTTTTGTAAATTATTACTTGTTTCATATGTAGTATAGTATGGTAGGACAGGAATTATTATAATATTGAAACAGAACAGGAATTCTATGCGAGCAGCCAGTAACTACAGAACTTTAAGTACTTATGGGGTAAAATAGACAAGGTGTAATTCAGGCAGGTTTTAAAAAATAAATAAATAAAAAAAAAAATAAAAATAAAAATTAAAAAAAAACACAAAACCCTGAAATTTTAATGTGCTTACACAAAAGGAGGCAAAAAAAAAAAAAAAAAAAGAAAAGAAAAAAAGAAACCAACAGAGCAGTTAGATCACTAATTGTACACTCAAAACATTATTTAGAAAGTCCCAGCTCACAGCAAGTGTGATGCTCGTTCACATGTAATAAATTAGGTACTGCTGCAAATCAAAACAAATAATATTTTTTCTTTACTCACTGCTCCAGCTTTAGCTACTGCCCATTAATTTCAAATTCAAAGTCTCTTGAATCCACAGATGAATTAACTTTATTTTTGATTTAATACTATATCAATAAATGAAGCACATGAAGAAATTCAAGCACTTGAACTTTGTTACTTAAATCTCCAAGGGCCAGCTAAAGCCTATTTTACATACAACCACTCACCTATATCTATCACAAAGTCTCTTCAACATAACACAGTATGCAGGATTGACAGTTCTGATGGTAATAAATACTGAAAAAGGCCATTCTCGAGACAGCACTATTAATCAAGCCACATTCAGCTATTTGGTCAAAAACACCAGTCATTATGTTAATTGCAAGGCTTCAAGTGACAATCAGCTAGCAGGCTCTGCTGATTGAGATGAACCTTTTAATGATAGCTTAGGTGATTACCTTCAATTTCTATTTAAAGATCACTTAGGCTTCTTGATCAAAATTACTGATGACAAATTTGTCACTGAGGTTGGCATTGTTTCCTGGAAACAGGAATGATACTGGGCAGCAAATAAACTCCATACCTCAGTATGCTGCTTTCAAGCTTCCACTTCTGTGGCAGCTCTACAAGCTGAGCCACCAACCCGCAGTAGAACTCAAGTCCACTCATTGCTAGAGAGTGGCGTACAGAGCTCACAACAGCTCTAGTTTACAAAAGAGCACGTTGGGAACCATCTCTGAGATTCCTATACATTCTCCATCCCATTTGTGATTGTATTAAGGGAAAGGTTCCACCCACATGGCTAGTCAATAGCAATTTGAAATGATGGAATATTTATCTGGCATTAGCACTTACGTTATCACACCGACATACTACATCACTGCTATAAAACTTTATGCAAGATGAATTTCTATTCTCAACTCTGAAAGATACTTGATTTTTCAAATTAAGTTAGAGTTGTAGATCTATTTTTTAATGCAATGGGACCTAGCTCAGCTGAGCATACAGGCACTTATCTCAGGTCTAAATGTCTTCATGATTCAGTAACCAAACAACCCTGTGATAAACCCCTTGCTCTCACCCTCCCCCCGCTCCCACCCCCAAAGAGTTCAAACACAGCAGTCAGCCAAAAACAAGGCAGTATTTACACAGAGTATAAAGCACAGTGATTTTCAATTACATAGTCAAGAATTCACAGTGGTCACATTTTCACAAGAGCATTGCGAAACCTCAGTTGCTTTGAAATATGACATTTTGAGTCATACAACCTCCTTATGGGGAAACCAAATTCATATTTTAATCAAGAGAAAGGCATTAAAAAAATCTGTTGCACGGAGGTTCTGCACTTACCCATTTTGAAGGTGGAAAATGTATATTAAAGAATTAACAACTTAAAAAGACTGACGAGGAAGATATGACAAGACAGAAGAGAAACATGACAACAGCTTGTTGATGAGAACTGTACCTGAAGTGGGAATTCTTGATAGAAATCCTTTTCTCACTTCTCTGAATTTTACTGGGGAGAAATAGCTAGGGTGGGATTGAGGGCTGAATCACGAAGCCTGTTGAAAGACAGGCACCTTAATTCAGTGTGCAGAAAAGCTGTGAGGAAGTTACTTTCGCCAATCTGAAAATGTACTGTCACCAGCTGAAAAACTTAAAAAAGGTTTTCTGCCAGACAAGAAAGCTGATGCTTATTTTTTTGGACTTCAAAATCACCAGAACCAATTACATAAATGCATACTGGGAGGGTGGAAGTATTATCACTCCTTCACAGGCACCAAAACCTTGACCTAACTGAAATCAAGCATCAAAGTTGGACAAAGCTCGAAACTTAGCCTTATCTTCAGCACCTTACCAGCTAATCACTCTCTGTGCAGTATAATGGCTTTTGTTGGATTTCATTACCACCACTGTAGCTATGCACGTAGAAGCATAAGATGATATTCTACACGTACCTGAGGGGATGTGACAGATACTCCTCCAAAAAGATGTAACCGAACTGCTGCAGAGCTATTTGTTACTGCTCTTCGGTCAGCAATTATGAACCCCACAGCAGAACCATTGGACAGGGATGCAGGCATCTGCTATTCTGTGCAAACTGCAGATGGAGGCCAGAGAAGTTAAGACTGCTGGATCTAGCATGAGGATGCTCAGGTGCACATGAATCATTCTGCACCTCCTGAATCAGGACTGGCAGAAAAGTAACAACCAGAAAAGAGAGCAGACAAGAAGGAAAAAAAACATCACATAAAGCTGTTAGCATCCTTAAGCCTGTGCAATAGTGATGTCACCTGCCCAAAGTCTCATTTCATGAAGCTACCACTTCGACTAAGCAGTAACTGAAATTGTTAAAATTATGGCCAAGCAGCAAGATCCTGTGTCATTTCATGTTGACAGGTTCATGAGAATAGCAAGAAATTGGATTTCAACATTTACTGTTTGTTGGCATTGCAGCTACTCTAATATAATTCCTTTTCTACTCCACAACATGGAAATTAGTCTTCAGTAACAACCAAATTAACAACAACAACAAAAAAACATTACTGTACATGAATTAAACATGTTTACAATAAATTTTACATTCACCCTTTTAATCTACAGTGCTGTATTTCATCTATAACTGTAAAACCTTAAGAAAAAATCGTAAGTTAAGAATTGATTAGGCAACAAAAACAGGCAAATTAATTCCATGTCACTTCTTAATTCTCAGAAAGAGCGTCGCTGATACAAATATTAATTTATGGAAAGTTTTAGTTGCTTTGTACTTTCCTATGCATCACCTTGCTAATCAAAACTTCATTCTCAGAGATTATTATAATTTGCCATGGAATTTTTCTCATAACAGTGAATATCCAGGAGCAGTGTTAAGCAAGAATCACAAGAACACATTTTTATTGTCAAATAGCCTGTCACATGGTACTCTGTAAATAATATATACCATAAATTGACTGTTCATGAACAAGCATTTAGACCTAGCTTAGAATAATCCTAAATGCCATCATGCAATCTAATGTGATACTGTCTCTCAATTTACTCAAAAACACAGCTTATATAGTCATCATTTAAATCACTAAGTCACTAATTAGTTCAATAGGTAACCCTAAATATGTTTTTCTACTTATAAACAAAAAGTCTTTTCACTGGGCAGGAAAGCACACAGAACAGTTTTGGTGACAAAAGAAAACAACTTGACTAAAAACCTAATTTACTGCACACAGCTGAGCAGAATCTATTTTACTAAGGTCCTGTGCAATAGCAGAGAACCTATTAAACAATCTAAGTGAAGGTCATGAATAAAACGAATGCAGTAACATAGCCTGTGGAAATTAACAGGAAGGCAAACATACCTGACACTTCCAAATAATAAAACATCCAGATTATAAAGCTCCACATGAGAGAAACTACTTAGCTTTATTTCCCATTTCTGTTTTACAATTACAAGCTGATTTAATATTATGGTTATTTAACACTATGAAATATTACTTTAACCTGTAAATGCGTATATGTAAACATATAATTTCATTTCTTTTAAATACTTCCCAATTTTAATTAATTTTTATTAATTTTTATTAATTTTTATTAATTTTTATTAATTTTTA